AAAGCAGCAAAACCACAAAAAAACAAACATAATGGCAGCATAAAAATCCATACCTATCGATAATTACACTGAATGTAAATGGATTAAATGCATCAGTTAAGAGATGGAGGGTGGCAGAATGGATAAGCAAACAAGATTCTTCAATATGCTGTCTGCAAGAGACACATCTTACACAAAGAGACAAAAACAGATTAAAAGTCAAAGGATGGAAAAAAATATACCAAGCTAATTGCACTAAAAAACAAACAGGAATAACAGTACTAATCTCTGATAAACTTTAAGGCAAAAACCAGCATAATAGATAAAGATGGATATTATCTCATGATTAAAGGGACAACTGAACAAGATGACAGAACCACAATAAATAACTATGCTCCCAATAAAAGAGCTCCAAAATATATACAGCATTCTCTAATATATTTGAATAAAGAAACTGATGAAAGTACAATAATCGTGGGCAATTTTTCAAAAATGGATAGACCAACCAGAAAGAAACTTGACAAAGACACAGAAGAACTTAACAACACCAACAGCCAACTGGACCACATAGATGTGTACAGTGCATTCAACCCAACAACGGCACAATACACATTCTTCTCCAGTGCATATGGAACATTCTCCAGAACAGATCATGTGTTAGGCCACAAAACAAAACTCCAAAAATTTACAAATATCAAAATACTACAGAGATTCGAGCCAGATTCAGATGAGAACATGGAATGAGGAATATCATTGCTATTGTCAGATGGATCTTTGCTGAAAGATGAGAATACAAGGTATTTACCTATGTTTTACTGACTAATGACAAACTCCAGATAATACTGTAAAAAATGTGTATTCCAGACCACTTAATCATGCTCATTAGAAACCTGTACAGAGACCAAGAGGTAGCCATTCAACAGAACAAAGGGACATCTTATAGTTTAAAATCAGGAAAGGTGTGAGCAAGGGTTGTATTGTTTGACCATACTTATTCAATTTGTACGATGAGCAAGTAATTGAGAATCTGGGTTATATGAAGAACATAGCATCAGGATTGGAGGAAAGCTTATTAATAACCTGTGATATTGCAGATGACACAACCTTGCTTCCTGATTAAGATCAAAGACCACAACTTTCAGTATGGGTTGCACCTCAATATAAAAAAAGACAAAAACCATCACCACTCGATCAATCAACAACATCTATAAACATGGAGAAACGACTGAAGTTATAAAAGATTTCATTTTGCTTGGATCCACCATCAACACTCATGGAAGCAAGTCAGGAAATCAAAAGACGTACAGCATTAAGCAAATCTGCAGCACAAGACCACTTCAAAGTGTTCAAGAGCTAAGTTGTTGGACAATGCATAAGACTGTAGAAGAATTGATGCATTTGAGTTATGGTGTTGGAGAATACTAAAAGTACCATGGGCTGCTAGAAGAACAAACAAGTCTGTGATGGAAGTACAACCAGAATGCTACTTAGAAGCCAAGATAGAGAGACTATGTCTCTCATATTTCAGACATATTATCAGCAGGGACCAGCCCCTGAAGGACATCATGCTTGGTAAAACGGAGGGAAAAATAGATTCCCAGTGAGATGGATTGGCACAGTAGCAGTAACAATGGGTTCAAGAGAAGAAGCAAGTGTGAGGATGGCGCAAGACCAGGAAGAGTTTGGTTCTGTTGTACACAGGGTCACCATGAGTTGGAACCAACTTGATGGCACCCAACAACACAGATCTTGGAAGAAATGCTCCTTAGAAGCCAGGATGGGGAGATTTCATCTCTCCTATTTAGAACATGTTATCAGGATGGACTAGTCATGTTTGGTAAGGTGGAGGGTCAGCATAAAAGAGGAAGACCCACAACTAGATGGATTGACAATAACAAAAACATTGGGTTCAAATGTAACAATTATCAGGATGACAAATGACTGTTGTAAATAGGGTAGTTATGAGTTGGAACTGATTGAATGGCACTTAACAACATAGGTATAATTTATAATACTTTCAAGTTCTGCAACACTTCAGTCCAGTACAATAGCAGTCACTTGTTACAAAAGCTGTTGCTTGAAAACAATAAATGCCAATGAAAACCTATTTCCTCATAGAAACATCTAATTTAAACTATAAAAATAAATATTCTAGCATGCTCCTACCTTTCTAAATATGGATGGCTAAAAGAGAAGACATTAATGAACACCAGTTGGCATTTTTATACTTCATGTCTTTATTGAATAGGTTCCAAAATGAAGACATTATTTATAATAAAAAATAATAGCAGTCATAATAATCTTATCTTCTCAAGCTAACTGCCTTCAGAATAATATGTAAGCAATTTTGACGCTTTAAATCAAAGCCTAGAATCATTTTTTATTCTATGATTGCCCACAAGTACTTTTGAAAATAAATAATGCATAGATCTACAAAAATTTCTTAAAAACTGAACTATTGTATAAGAAATCAATGTGAAATAATATAAAAATGCATTCAGATACAGTGTCACACATTTCATAATTCATAAATAGTTTGCTTGCTTATTGTTTATAAACATCTCTGGGATTTGGAATTGGATGATTTCTTACCAGCTCATTTTCCAAGTAGTACATTTGCTACTGCACAATTTATTGAGAAACAAACCTGTATCCGTTTAATTACTTTAACTTATTTATATACCCTTTCTTTTACAGACAAAAAAACAAGTGGTCTTAAAAATAATACTTGAAAGAAAATAGTGCTTAGTTCTAGAAAAAACAAACTTTCAATACTCTTCTTTTTATGCATTATAACAAGACAAAAACAAATTATTAAAGTGGAATTCTAATATGTACATTAGTTATTCAAACTTATTACAGTTTATTCTAGCGGTTGAACCAATGTTATCTGATTTTTCTTCTTTTTCCCCCACAAATATGATTGAATAACAACTACCACGAGGCCTGGTGTGGCACTGTAGGTTAATGCCCCACACTGCAAAGCCGTTTGAATTGCAAGGTCGGTGGTTCAAGCTCACCAGTTGCTACTTGGAAACTTGATACAGTATTGCTATGGGTCAGAACGGACTCGATGACACTTAACAACAACAATAAACTAAAAGCCACCTGACAAATATCGGGAAAAAACCCCATAAAGTACATAAAATGACAATTCTCATTAATACTAAGTTTATACCCCCTGCCCAGACTTAAGAAAAAAAATGAACTAGTAATGAATAAATAAAATTATTAAATATAAGCATAAATAAATTTCAGTTAGAGCATTCTAAGCCACAATTTCTATATTGATTCTTATAATTTATTACAATCATGAAAAAGAAGTTAAAAATTGTCAAAAACATAAAAGATCTGTCTGTACCTTTCAAATAAGATCCAAACATTCTTAGGTTTGACTGGCCAAAAATTGCTGCAGAATTATAGAATATGGCTGCATAAGCAATCAAAAAGATCTACTACTAAATATATTACACACTGTGAATGATGATGATTAAAAGCTGTCTTTTAGTCAAAGTTAAGCAGAAACTATAAAGAAATGTTTGTATATATTTGATCACATAATAAATCAACTACACACTATGACAATACATTTTCAGTGGCTTTTACTGTAATGCAAATTAAATGGTATTTTAACACTAAGTATTATAGAATATGAGTAGAGAAAATTAGATAGCCTGGTAACCTTCCAATAGCTACCTCTAACTGTACGTCATGGGACTAAAATTCAAGTACTTTTAACCTGCATGCCCTGCCCTAATGATTATCACAATTTTTATTTATTCGCTGAGGTGGTTTGTTTAAAAATTTTGTTGAAATAATTTTTTCTAAATTCATACATACAGAAAAAGGTATGAGTTCAACATGTATGGTTTTGCAAGGAATTTTGTGCATTTTCAAATTGTACGAAAAATATTAAGACTACTATTGAGATATGAGGTTATCAGAAAGAAGGAAAAAGGTGAAATTTGGAGACACAATTGAAAATGGAAAGAATAGATGTTTTAACACATGCAGAATTAAAAACCTGTTATAAACAGAATACATTTGTATTTTCATTCATTTATATCTGAAGGAAATTGCATAATTACATTTTTAAAAAGTAAGATTATTATTATAATACACCAAGTAAAGGATAACATGGGTCTCATTTTTTGCTGTTCTTAGTTGTTACGATTTATAGAATTAGGTGTTCAAGACTTCTGCAGGAAGGTAATCTCATATGACTATTTGTGAATCAAAATGTTATCTCCAAATACAAACTCCCAACATTCTATTCTATTATGATGGTATTCAAAAATAGGCACCGATGGGGATAAAAAAAAATCTTTATTCTGATTTTTTTCTCACAGTAATGATCATCCTAAAGATTGAAGGGCTAAGCACTAGAATTTGAGTTTGTGAAAGTATACTTATGTACTTTCACATACCACCAAGAAATTGGTATTAAGTTAATGATTTAATTTGAAATTATTTTTTGACATGAAAGTGAACTTATTTCCATGGATGGCACAGAATGGGTATCAGGTATTTATTATAATACAATATATGTACAAATTTATTTATACACACACTACACAGCCAAAGGATTATGCGCCAAAAATTACTGGAAAAGGTAATTTGAATATTTTGAGCACAAAGTAACTACAGGATGTGCTCTAGCATCCTAGCAGCTATAGTCATACAATACAGGACCTTGGATTTTGTTCACAGAACCATTCTTCGAATGCCACACTCACAACAGAACTTTGCCCATTCTACAGGGTATTTGGTTCCACATTCATGGCAGAATTTTGGTAAGTGTCCAGATGAATTTCCTTCACTGCTTTTAATATTTCCACCATTAAGTGAAGACAGGTAGTCTCCATCTGGCCTGAAGAAATCCATAAAGAAAGTGGAAAACAAAGAACATATGAGTAGTTTTTCAATCCATAACCCCTGGGAAGCGCGTGGTATTATTAAGTAACCAAAAGCTTGCTTAAGCTCGTTTTTAATATTCCTCTAAATTCCATCTGAAAAAAGAACTTCTGTGTGTTGATACTGCAGTTCTGAATATTTTCATAAACATTAGATTTGTCCCTGTGGAGGATTTTTCCTGACTATATGCAGCCATACTTTCCATCTGCTCCATACACTAGCCATTTACAACAATGTGGAATAGAACGGTCTCCCTTCCTGGTCCAAGAATTGTTAAATGATAACCATAGTATTTATTTTGATTTTACTATTCTACTAAATTAGGAGTCCTAGTGTGGCACTGTGGGTTAATGCACCAGACTGCAAAGCCATTTGAACTGCAAGATCGGCAGTTCAAGTTCACCAGCTGCTCCTCCGAAACCCTATACAGGGTCTCTGTGGGTCGGAACCGACTCGACAGCACTTCACAGCAACAATAACATTCTACTAAATTATCGCAATGTAGTATGCCCTACATATGCCCTGGAAGGATGAGCTTCTATAATAAGGTGTCTCCATGAAGGTAAAACAAATTCTAGAAGAACTATACATTATATTATAAGTTTAGAGAAAAATGCTTGACATTTTTAGTCTTTTTACAGTAAATAGTCATGGAGGAAATACAGATTACAATGATGCAACAATTAATGGTAAGCAGAGAGAGTTGAACCCTGCAAAAATATGTATTACCTTCTGGAAAGTCACCATCAAGGGAACTGACTGTTGGAGAATTCTTTCCTGGAAGTAGAAACCCTGTACAGAATTTCTGAGGAGCAGCTGGTGGGTTTGAACTGCCAACCTTGAGATTAGCAGTCCAGTGCTTATCCAACAGCACCACACCAAGACTCCACAAATATACAATTTATAGTCTAAGTCAGTGAGATGAAAATAAGGTCAAATGTCAGCATTTTATGTGCTATCCTTTGTTTCCTGTCTTTTCAGCTCCACAAGAGACAACTGTACAATCAGTACAGTCTTCTGAATCAAGGCGAATCTCTTAGATCTGGACAACAAATTTACAGTTATCAAAACAATCCCTTTAAATTATAAAGAAAATAGTAATGAATTAGGAGACGACCCCAATCAGGGAAAATGGCCACAAGAAAATTTACTAGCTTTGTTGTCTTCAAGATAAATAATTTAATTCTTCTTTTCATATTTTACTAAGTCCTATTTGGTTGTTTTGAAAATATGTCCTTAAGTTTTTTATGGTAGTATCCTACCATTGTTAATGATTTTAATTCCCTCTCTTATTTCTTTAAATACTGTAAGCACAACTATTTTATAGTCTGGGTTTGCTCATTTTAATACCTTAAGTAGTAGACACAGCTGTTTATTTTCTGCTAGCCCACACTCATTATTGGCTGTTTGTTTGTGCAGTGGGGAACTTCCCTGCATGCTCTGTAATTTGGAATTATAAGCTCATGCTTATTAGGTGCATCTGTGAGCACTGGAAAGCCTGGGTTGAGAGCAATTCACAGCAAACAGGATTGACTTTTGCTTCTCTTATGCTGTTAAGCTCAAAATGTTTTAATTAATTTTCTAATGGGACTTCTTAGATGTGTAGATATTGTATTTTCAAACCTTAAACTCATGTGAAGGTGAACTTGGGGTTAAGAATTATCAGGGGAAACTCACATTCCTCTGAGACATGGCTGAAACAGACAAGCTTCCTTACAGTTACCTATTTCTAGTTGGAATAGGATTCCCTCCTCCCCTTCAACAAAAGGTCAAGTCCATCCTTTTATTTCAGGGTTAATAAAGCCCATTTTCTTTTTCTATGAAAAATATAAACTTGACATAACGTCTTAGCTTTCTTTCAATGAAACTTATTACGGTGCAATGTCTGTGTGCTTCCAGGCTTCAGGGGTTGTAGGCATCCTTGAAAAGAGACAGATCCCAGAGGTAACCACAGAAGCAGCTATGTCTATGAGACAGTTCTAAGAGGCAACGGTTTTTTTTTGAGGCATGGAACTTTGAATTTTAATTAAATTGGCTCCATATACACACTTAGAAGATCTCTTTCTCTCACACTTAAACTGTTAGAGTCAAAAAAAAAAAAAAATTAATCTCACCTATTATTCTATATTTCCTGTAAATTATTCCAATATCAAGTGTGACGCACTGTAGTCTTCTTATTAGATGCCATTGAGTTGGTAACAACTCACAGCGACCCTATCTACAGCAGAACAAAACACTGCCTGGTCCGGGGCCAACCTTACAGTCATTGCTACATTCGAGGCTACTGACACTGCCACTGTCCCAATCCATCATGCTGAGGGTCTTCCTCTTTTTATTTGACCCTCCATTTTACCAAACACAATATCCTTCTCCAGTGACTGGTTCCTCCTGATAAAATGTCTGAAGTATGGGATATGAAGTCTGGCCATTCTGGCTTCCAAGGAGCACTCTGGCTGTACTTTTTCCAACAGAGATCCATTTGTTCTTTTGGCAGCCCATGGTACTTTGACTATTCTCCTCCAACACCGTAATTCAAATGCATCAATTCTTCTACAGTCTTCCTTATTCACTGTCCAACTTTCGCACCCGTGAGGTTATTGAAAATTACATGACTTGCATCAGGCACACCTTAGTCCTCAAACTGACATCTTTGTTCTTAAACACTTTTAAGGTCTTGTGCAGCAAATTTGCCCAAATGCAATAGTCATGTAAGTCTCTAAATGAGCCTAGAAAGATTCCTTGGTGAACTGAGAGTAGGAGGCATGGAGAATGGGGATGAGAAAGTTGACTTATAATGCCTTTGTTTGTAAAAGTACAAGAATTCAATTCCTGTCTCCTATAATAACATCAAAAGTCAACCCTCTACATCACAAAGATGAGTCAAAAACCTCAGCTATAAGTGAAATGTTAGGGTTAATTGACCAAAATGACCTCTATAGCTTCCCTTACATTTCAGTTCCCTTACTTTTCTGAGAGTTCAATTATGCATTCAATGAGATACATGTTCTGTTTTAACCAGCATTTCACAGTGTTTTAGTGTAAGGGTTATCCATGATAAGAAACCTAGCACATTGCCACAATCGCTGCAATTTCTGTATCTGTTACAGTTGTAGTTATTTTTATCTGGGGTAGTAAGAGTAAGCTAAGTTAGTATGGTTCTGGACTTCCCATCAGATAACAGCCATTTAAAACCAGAGAAAAAGGTGAAAATTTTAATTTGAAATTATTTCTTAATTTTGTCCTCCTCTGTGTTGAGATAATTCTTCTATTCAAGCACATGTTATTTCTAAGTTCTTCATTTTCATAAAATGTTAAATCATTTTGAATCAGTTTTGATTCAAAACACATGACTCCACATATACACAACAACATAGTTATACTCCAAGAAGTTACTCTCCAGGAAGCTTAAGGTCACTTCCTTAATATTTAAAGGCTATCAAAATCTCAGCTGAAACAAACAGAATTTATTAAAGAATCTAGCTGGAAAGCTAACAATTCACCCATCCTCTATGGTTCTTAACACTTACTGTGTCTAATCATTGCCCTTGATGCTTTTTAAATGGCAGCTGCCCAGATTCCATTCTCCAAGTCAGAACAATGAGAACCTCTGGGAGGAACGTGGGCACATTTGTGTTTAGTAGTTAGGTGATTCTGATGAACAGCCAGGGTTAGTATCTTAGATAATCAAGAATCTATCTCTGAATTACATCATAATTATGCCATAAGTGATAATTATTTTAAGAAAACACCGTATGCAATGTATTGTCATATTTACAGGAGGAATGTTAATGAACAAGTTACCCATTACATTATCCGCTTTATGAAAACCCACTGAAACAATTTTGAGTACTAAGGATGACTTGTGCTTCTCCATAGAAACTGGCTTGATTTTCTTTTACAGATATCACGAATCTTCTCTACCCTGGTTTGCTGGCTGCTATGATGGTTAGAACCCAATCTGTGGCATAGGGCCAGTTTATGTACAGGGACTCAAGGCACATATTTTGCAAACTAACTTCACTCCTGCTTCCATAACATCTTTCGGTTTCTATTTTTCCTTTCCTTTCTTATTTTTCTATTTTAAAATTAGTGTATCTCACTACATTTTAAATATTTATGTATGTTGCATCTCATTATACTTTAAGAATTTATTTATGTTGCCTTAAAATTTTCTGAAATAAATTTGGGTATATATATTACCAGTAACTAAGATAATTTCTTTAGATGTTCAAAAACCAGAGTGAATGTTTAAGATGATTAAGTATCAAGGCAGATTTGAAAGGAACATGGGAAGTATATATACTAATAAACTCAGAAGTCAGTTTAAATGTATTACAATGATGCTGAAATTTACAAAAAATTGTAGTAGTGGCTCAAATAATCTATTGTTCAATTTGTATTGGTTAAAAATAATACTTCAGTGACAGAAAAACAAAATAAAAAACACAATAAACCCAGAAGAAGTGAAAAAACAAACCATCATTGCATATTAACAACAACAATTCTAACTATGAAGTATAGAAAAACATTATATACAACCAAACTAATCCTTCAGTATACATAGTAAAATAAAAATTAAATCACAGAGTGAAGAAAACAGTGAGGCAGATGCGTATTTTTGGTGGTATACAGTTTTGGAAAATTATATTAACAATCATTTTAATTGTAATTATTATGATAGGAGAGTTAAATATACCTGCTTATGTAGCTCTCAGTATATATTTTTCTTTTGCTTGTAGGTACACCTGAGGCAGGATTTCGTGCCAAACTAGGCGGTGTAGAATTTCGAGATTTGATGCTAGGTCTAGAAAATACCAAAAAAAAACCATCTTGAAAAAGTGTTGAATACTCAACTTTTGTTTCTCAAAGTGCCTACATGCATGACTAGAAATGTAATCAGAAGATGTTGACAGATAAGTTCATAGATTATAATACAATTATTTTAAGTCAGAAAGGAAGCAATTAATACTAAGACTAAACCAAGGCATTTTGCATTTGCTAACATTATTCTGAAGGAACATAAAAATCAATTAAAATATGTATACATGCTTTACATAAAAATTTTAAGCTAATGATTCTGAAAGGTCTCAAATTAGTAAAAACTTAAATACATAATTCCTTCAGAATACATGCTTCATTAAATATATATATATATAACTGTTAATACAGCAAGCAAGTTACATTATTATCCAAGTTTTCAAAATGTGGTTTAAATAAAAGAAACATTAACCAACTGAACAGAATAACATTCCATTTTGAAACTCTGTCCTTAGAAACTGCAACTATAATAATTGGGTAATACAATTTTCCCTTTAAGTAATTGCATCAAATAATGCAGCTTGGGCGGGCCATTTAATACCAGTAGAGGAGGCATTTCAGTTGGCTCATCACTGAATTGCCTTTGAGAAAATTTAGGAATCAAAGAAAATGTAGACAAACAAAAGTATACAATGATAAAATTATATATAGACTTTGGGATTCAGATGGATCTAGTTTCAAATCCTTATAACTACTGACCAACTTTGTGATAGCGGTCAATCTTTCTGAAACCAAGTTCTCTTATTTAGGAAATGTGACTGTCATCACTTATTTTATAGGAATATTAAGGGACATAAATTACACTTCACACTGATTAGTTGCTGATAATCCTGTTATTACCATTATTGCTATTACTAGAAGTAGGCATTTCTGTAACAGTGCTTGTTGTTGTGAAGTGCCTGGAGTCAGTTGTGACTCATAACTACCCTGTATAGGGTTTATGAGGAGCAGGTGGTGAATCTGAACCACTGACCTTGCAGTTCAAACCGACCTTGTGGTCCAGTAGTGCATTATCCCACTGTGCCACACCAGGACTCTATAATGTTTTAGATCAACTATATCTATAATTGCCTTCTATACATTAATTCATGTAATCTTTATAATAATGCAAATGAGGCAAAAACGAGTTAGTAACTTTACCAAGCTACACAGCTAATATGTTCCAGGGTTCAGACGTTCAATGAAGCATTCGTTCCATTCCTACTCTTCAAAGATTTAATAAGTAATAGTGTGTTACATGAAATAGGCAGAATAATTTTAAGAATTCTTTTAGATTGAGGTTCTTCAACTTTGGCTGAAATTCTTCTATTCATATGGCAAAGCTGATGAGAATGTCTTAATGTTTTAAATGGCTACTTACCCCTAAAATGCATGCAGGTAAGAGCAACATCTACTATCGGTAAATGTCTACTGCATGTCAAATCTGCTGTCACTCCATTTAATCCTCACAAAAATTTATTATCATTTCAAAGTTGAAGAAACTCAGGTTCAGGTTAATTTGCGAAGTCATTACGGGGCAGAGTGCTTGAATCTATGTGAGTTACACAAGGGTACTTCAAAAAATTCTATTTTTATACAAACTTTCTGAAGTCCCCTCCTATTCCAATGTTCATATCCAGCAACATGCAATGATGCCATTCAGAGAAAAGCTGCCTTAAGTAGTTACTTCTTTAAACTGGTGTTTCTAAATCTGAAAAGCAAAGGTTGCCCTGGGTCTATGTGGTCTTCAAATGGACAGCTGCACATTCTTCCATAACGTTTATTCTACTTTTATATAGCTCTTAAGGAGTGCTGCAAAATTGCTCTATGCCTCTTTAAGAATTCATTCTCTAAATAGTCAATGCCCAAGAATGAGAATTCCTCTGCTAAGAGTCAACTGAGAAAAAGCCAGTACATTTTATGGGTCTGGAATAAAGTCTTTGTAGAAATCCCAGCAGCTTCCTGTAATATACAAATGAACTTCAAACACATCCATTCATATATACTTACAAAACTTCACTACATCAGTAATTTTAAATTGTTCAAAATGTTTAGAGAAAAGTATGATTATCAACATTAAGAGCTCCCATTAATAAATGTTTATCACTAATTTTTAGTAATATGTTGTTGTTGAGTGCCATCGAGTCAGTTCCAACTTATAAAGACCCTGTTTAGAGTTTCCGAGGAGCGGCTGGTGAGCTTGAACCGTCGACCTTGTGATTCGACCCAACACTGCAGTCCAGCGCATTAACCCCCAGCATCACTTAAGTTCTGCTAAAAAACTGCCACTGCATCTGCATGCCAAGAAACATTCTTAGGAAGACTGGATAAACTGTCTATCTTGATGAGTATGTAAAACATGTTGCCCAAATCTCAAATAGTCAACACACTTTGTCTTTCTGGACAAAAATCTGAAAAGTGCTCATCATACTTTATATCTAGAATCTGCTTTTTATACCTCAAAAATAAAGTTTAACTTTAGAATTTTACTTAATTTGACTTATAACTTATTAAGTGTTTTGTTTTGTTTTTTGAGATCTGCTTTAGAAGATACATACAGTAGCAGTAGGACAAAAAGCTGAGATCAAAGCTTTCCTTCTAGAATGTTATCACTAATTAAAATGAACTATTACTAAGATCTCAAAGATGTTTCCATCCTTACTTTACTGTACACAGAGTTATATTTAGGGATCCCTGGTGGCACCAAGGATTAAGTGTTGGGCTGTTAATCGCAAGGTTGGCAGTTCAAACCCACCAGTTACTCCTAGGGAAAATGCTGAGGCAGTCTGACCCATAGAAACTTATAGTCTCGGACACCCTAAGCAGCAGCCCTACTTGGTCCTGTAGGGTCACTATCAGCTGAAATCGATTTGAAAGTTAGCAAAATGTTGCAGTAGACCTTGGTTTCCAAGTTACCTTTGTTTAGTCATTTGGCTTTCAATTTTATTAAGTAATTTTTAGGATATGATTTCGTCATTTTAAAATGAGAGGGGGCTAAACCACTAAAGCCTTGAAGCCTCATTTGGTTAAGGTTCCATGACACACTTGCCCCTCTCCTGGTCTGCTAGGCTAGTAAGACACAGGGAAGAGTGTATTATCTGGCAGGATTATACCCTTCCCCTTTTTTACATGGAATTTTAAAAAACCTGAAGTTCCCTAGATTGAATGTTTTACAATATCTTTTTTCCCCCTGGCTTTTTAATAGACCATTATTAGCTTAACTAAAGAAAATCAATTATTTAAAAATACATGACATAATAACCCACATATTTTTTTAAAAATATACTACTCCTTAAAAAATGCTTCACAAAAATAGCAATTATTGAAGAAGACTATTTTAATATTTCAAAAATAAAAGTGGAATGGAATAAAATGTGTGCTCTAAAAATAGCTTTAATTAAGAGGGTAGAAATGCACACTAAAAACTCAAAATATATGAAAACTAAAAAATTATCCAGAACTTCTTAATGGAATAAGATTAAAAATTTTTAAGTATAAAAACACTACTCCATAAAAAATGCTTCATGAAAACAGTTATTAAAGGAGACTATTTCAATTCTTCAATAAGAAATATTTTATGGGATAAAATCTGTGCTTTAAAAACAGCTTTATTTAGGAGAGTAGAAATGCTCATCAGAAAAAATCAAAATGTTTGAAAAACAAAATAAATTTTAGGACTTTTTTAATGAAAATTTTTTTTTAAATTTAAGTATAGGAACTTACGTGAACCCAAAATATAAAGACTTTTAAGGAAACATCTGAAAGAGATTTACCAAACTGAGTTACAAATACTTACTTGTAAATGGGTAATAACTCATGTCTTTTGATGGCATTGTCTGATTTTGTATCACTGCCATACAACCTTTGCACATCTCTTCCAGTTCGAAGTGGAGGGCCTAACTTGTCCATCTTACTATTAAAATATATAAAGGTGTATTCATAAGGAGACTACCATTTGCTACTTTATATCACTAAAGATACTAGAAAAAAACAAAACAAAAAAACACTAGACATTAGTCTGACTAATCAGAAATCTATCCCCATCTTTGAATCCACAAGCCCTTATTTCATTATCTGAATGCCAAGGTAAAGAAGTAATTACAAAAAAAGAATCTTTAATGAGTTCACAGTGTCCATAATTAGAGCAGAAACGTGTAGATATGCAGGCCACCCACCTAGTACTGATAGACATCCAAACAAATGCCATCTTATAGAGCAGGGCAATGGAATCAATGAGGAAATTTAGGATGAAAAACAACTGTTTCAAAGCAAATTAGTGAAACTGGAAAGAAAGTGAAAGTTGTCATTGACAAATAATCTCACTTTTCCCCTTTCCTGAATCCATAGAACCTTTATTTTTCTTTTTATCTTATTATTTCCTCTATACTTTACACAATTCTGAATACAAAATAAGGAATCAAATATTATGCTCATATTCTTACCTCATGTCACTTTCTAACAAAGAATGAGTTTAATTCTGAAATCTATCTAAAGAAAAGTAAAATATGACCCTATGTGAGTAACAGTGAAAAAGCATGGAGGGCATACTGAAAATTCACACATAAAAACATTTAAAAGACCATGCTATCTGACATTTTCCATTCTTTATCAAAAGTATAAAGGAGCTCTATCCAGCAGATACAAAAACAAAAAAACAGAGTTTTCAAGGTACTTTATTATTTTACATCAACCAACTATCTGAATATATACTCTCAGGAACCAAAATCCATTCATAATAAGAAGCAAGGAAGATCAAATTAGGTTATTTTAAAATGACTCCTGGTAACTATTCACTGCTTATTAACTTCACTAGTATGCTCTTTAAGGGAGGCTGCTTTATTCATGCATTCTTTCACTCATTCCTTCCCTCCATGTCAGGCACTAGGCTGTATTCTGGGGATACAGTGGTAAATACGACTAATGCATATGACTGTGGAGCTTAGTGTCTAAGATGTGTTCATCTCCCTAAACTATAAGAGTCTCTGAGGAGGAACTCATTATTTTTAC